GGGGTGCTCACAGTTTGATGCTAAAGATGTCTCAAAATGTAGACGTCTACATTTTCAGACACAATTTGGAACGAACTGTGAACACCCCAATGGTTTAATGAGAAAAAGTGGCAACATTGCTTTTTCGAGTATTCAACCGCTAGCTGCGTTTCAGTGATCGCCGATCGAGATTTCATTTATTATTTTACATTATTTGGATAAAGAAAAGTTACGCAAATTCAACATCGAAATGATGCTGATAGAAATCTGGATTAATTTGTGATCAACTCTGTTTGTTTTGTTTCTTAGGTCGGTGTTATGCAGAAATTTTGTTTGGCAAACTGCGTGCAATTGTTGTTGCAGCAAACTCGGAGAGAGCGAGTTTGGCGACTCTCACAGCAAACTAGTTTTGTTTGGTCAAACTGCAGCAAATTCGGTGTTGTCATCTACAAAAATTTTAAATTTTGCGCGTTATGTACATCTGAAATTCTCATTTCGTGTTGGCAATAGCCATGAAAACCATAATGAACGTGCAACCCTGTGCCAAACTCGACATAACCACCTCCGAGAAAACTTAGCAGCCGCCATTTAATTTGGCAAACAAAAGTTTGTCTGCATAACACCGACCCTAATTAGGTGTGGAAAATATAATTGGCAGCACCGACAAATGAATATATACACAAACAAATGTTCGGTTATGGTTAAAACAATTCAGGTTTTTGTATTGAATTTTCGGTTTAGAATTTATTTTTCCTTTTCAGTAGGGGTTTTTGCACATTATCTTTTCCGTGAGAATTTATCGTAATGGATACGGATCTGAATAAGCGACTGGAACACGGCTGTTTGTCAAAAGCATACGATTTCGAACTCGCGTAAATGTACATTTGCTAAATGCGATAGCATGAACGCTCTTCGAAAACATATGTTCGAAAGTGCTAAATGCTGCATTTTAAATGCAGCAAAAACGCTGCATTAGGGCCGGTTACTCAAAGTCTGGTTAACACTACTCTGCGGTTAAACATCGCTACCGACGTCTTCGACTCCATGCATATAACATCGAGTCGGTAATGTCGATAACGATGTTTAACGGCAGATTAGTGTTAACCAGGCATTGAGTAACCGGCCCTTAATAGGATTAACTTTTCAAAAATGCAAATAAAAATTGATTTTATTTGGTTTGTAAACGTACTATATAAAAGAATTTGTGATGACCGGAATTGTTAATCTAACAGGTCTATTCTGCGCTGGTAATAAAAAGTTTGTAACCGGTAAATAAAGTTCCTGTTAATTTTTAAACCCTTTTCGCATTCTGTGTACTCTTGTAGCCGGTAAATTTTGTTACTATCTCGTAAGCTGGTAACAAAGTATTGCCCCGTGAAATATGCAATGCCAGAATTTGCACAATTCTTCATAGCTGAATTGCTGAATATTTTTACTGCATTACCAACGTTCCTAGAATCGCGGTGACAAGAACTGGTAACATTTTTTGGTAATAAAATTTTCCGGTTACAAAATCTCCGGTAACGTGCAGAATATACCTGTAATAAAAGATTGGTTATTTTTTCTTACATTTGGTAACTTTTTCGTCTAATTTAGGTTAGAAAGTTTTGAGCGCCGGCAACACTGATTTCGGATACATCTTCGATTCTCCATTCGATTATTCCATTACCATGATTCAATAATACAAGGTTCGATAAACTGACAGTTGTCTCTCTCGCACCGCTCCCTTAGCATTGGCACCGTGTTGCTTCTTTGCAAATTTACATGGAAATAGTGTAGCTTTGGTGTGAAATAGAAGTATAAGCTTTTGTGCAATATGTTTATTTGTATATGCATATGAAACATATTTAACTGATGAAAACATAAACCGTTTTTAAATTGGATGTTTACATCAATCTCATAGTAGTCTTATTTTAATTTTGAGTCATTTTGCAGTTTTTATACAGCTAAATAGCACATAAATTCCGTAATACACGTAGATATATCAATATTACGTTCAACATTTCGTTTAAAATGCCAGATTTCCTGCAAATACATTAGAATTTACAAAAGGAATTTCCGTACTAAGTGCCTACTTTGTGTACTTTTCTACACCGGCCTTTGTAAATGCAACCTTTTGTGTCAAACCGTAGCTGTCAATAATTATCTAACCTTGTATTATTGAATCATGTTCCATTCCTAGTGTAAATGTGAGCTTTTGAAAATGGCTGCTGAAATAAAACCAGCCCAACGGAACGGCCATGAACGATTTAGTTCCATAAGGAAGTTAGAGTTGGTTAATAAATTGGAGGGAAGTTGTGATGATATTAATGCGGCAATTTTCATCCCTGGCGAGAATGGTGTGATAAGTGTATCCGATGACAAGTTAGTATATTATTTGAGAAAATTTTATTCTATATCTAATAAAATCTTTTTACAGAACCATACGCGTGTGGCTGAAGAGGGACTCTGGTCAATACTGGCCCAGCATATGTCAATATATGCCCTCAGGTTGTTCTTGCATCTGTTATAATGAAAATGCAAGGCAATTATATGTTGGCCAGGACAATGGCACAGTTACGCAGTACTTTTTTTCCGATGACTGCAACAGGCTCTCATTTGTTCGAGATTTTTTAGCACATCAAGGTCGAGTAATGGGAATTGTAGTTGCCAACACGCTTCAATGGGTGCTTTCATGTGGAAAGGACAAACTCTTCGCTTTTTATTCAACGGAAACTGGGAACCGATTGGGTAGTTTTAGCTTTGAGACACCTTGTACTTCATTACAGTAGGTCAGTAATGATATTATTAGGTCATATCATAGAGGTTGTATTGTTACAGATTTGATACTATGGCAAAATATGCTTTTGTGGGTGACAATAGCGGACTAATTACAATGTTAAGGTGTGACACGCCAAATGTTCAATTTGTCAACACATTCAAAGGACATACAAGTAAATTTAAAAGGATATCTCAAACTTTTTATTAACTTATTATTCTTGGACACAGCAAGCATTCGATGTTTAAAATGGGTCGAAGAACATCAGTTGCTTTTTAGCGGATCTTGTGATCAAACGGTTTTTGTTTGGGATGTTGGTGGTAAACGTGGCACTATCTATGAGTTGCAGGGGCACAAGTTAGAGATATGGTTTTTATATATATTCTTTATTTATATTTTTTAATATATCCTTTTTTAGTAATAAGGTTTCTTCGCTTGCTTATGCCAATAGCACCCAACAGCTGTTGAGTGGCGGAGAAGACTCTGTTGTTGTCTTGTGGAAGATGAACGCCATGCGAAAAGAAGTCCCTGGATGGGTGGATAATAGCAGTTGCCAGCTATGTCAACGTCCTTTTTTTTGGAATTTCCGTGCAATGGTGGACCAAAAACAAATTGGTAATTATTCCATTTCTTCCTGCAGGTAAAGTACTATTGACATTTGTACACAAGCGAAACAAAAAATAAATAAAATAAAAAAAGCTTAATATACCACGCTTTTATTAATGGATTAAAAATTAGAATATAATATATCTCAGTCCCATAAAATTTGTTTTGATAACTTTTGATTTTGAAATGTTAGCCAAAGTCATTATAATCAATTTATGAGATTGAAATCAAAAAACGTGGAGCGCATGCAATGCAAAGCATTAGATTTAATTGATAATAGTCAAACAGACCTAAAATTTATACAGAGAAAGTGCAAATTTTGAGATCGATTTTAAGCGGTCGTTATTCATATACCCACATACATACATACATATATTACTATTCATATCAATTCAGGTCTATTACATCCGCACCACGCTTTTCATTTTCAGCCTCATAAATTATTTATAATGACTTGCTAAAATTTCAAAATCGAACGTTATCAAAACAAATTCTATGGGACTAAGATATATTATTTTATAATTTTTATTCCATTTATGAAAGCGTGATATTTTAAAAAGTTTTATTTTATTTTATTTTTTTCTACTTTTTAGTCTTGTCTGTATAAAATTTTGCAATAGATATTGAAATAATTCAACTTGCAGTGGAAAGAGAACAGAAGACTATGCATGCAAAATGTTGTTTACTCACGTTTAGTATATACAACCATATGTACATACCAGGGTTGTTGCGAATATTCGCATTCGCATTCGCAACCGCTGAGCTTCCGCATTAATTTTAATATTCGTATTCGCTTTCGCATTCGCCATAATCAATGCGGATCTTTTGCGAATGCGAATATTGAAGGGATCGAAAATAACAGTTTTTTAACAGCTAAACTTGGCCAAATATTTTTTATTCCCAATTAAAAGACTTTTCCGGATAATAAGCAAACCTCTTATCCAAATTAAACAAGTTTGGTACCAAATGAAGGAAATGTCTAAACGAGCAAAGCCACCCATTGAAAAATATTTCAATAAAAAATGTTCATTAATTACCATAGATCAAACCTTGGGTCTGGTATATGAATTTCTTTAGTATTAAATGATAAAAAATACAAATAGAGGTGGTAACCTTCTTTCGTTATTTCTGCTTAAAAGCTATTTCAGTCACAGAACAAAGGATTAAAAATGAATTACAAGAACAAAATCGAAAAACGCTGTTGACTTTACAGGTTCTCCAAATTCAGAAACAACCAAAAGAATGATAATGAAGAATTCCTTGGAAATCAACGGTGTTTAAACAACGATCTTGCCATAATGCAAGATTGTGAAAATGGAAGTCAGGAGGATATATCCGACATTTGCAGCCCAATGCAATTCTCAAAAAAGAATTATTGCACCGCAATAAAAAAATAAATATAACTGAAAGACCTCTCAACTGGTGCAGCGTCAATCGAAAAGAATTTACAATTTTGTCAAGTTTAAAGTTTTTCCAGTTTGTCGCCTCGAGCGAGTAGTTATTTAGTGGCGCAGGTTTGATTTACGACCCTTAAAAACTTTTTATTGAATACAATGTTCCAATTTTTAAATTCAAATACTAAAAAAAACATTATTAAAAATTACTAACCTTTCCATTTTTATTTAAATAAATCACCTAATTTACTCACCTAAATTATTTCTTAACAAGTAAAAAATTCAAAGTTCGGGCGGAGCCGAACATTAAATACCCGGCGCAAGTATTCAATAGAGTTTTTTCACCTCTCCGAAGACTACCGCTACATGGTAAGCAGTGGTGGTTTTACGTCTATTTCAAACATCTTCGGTAGAACGTTCAGTTGATGTAATGAGATAAACTTATATAGATATATGTGGTCGGCACCACGCCTGATTTCCAAAATTCCATAATAATGTTACTTCTTTTCAAGGGATTGTTGTTAGTATAAATTTTTGGTAAAGTTAGCTTCCTTAAATTTCGAAATATCAAAGCTTCAAACATTTCTGAAATTTACCGTTATAAAAAAGTGGGCGTAATTTTAGTCAGCTTTCAAAACTTTCAACGTTTTGCTTGTATGTGGTAACCACAATAATCATACCGAGTTTGGTAGACATTGATAGAGCGGTGGTTATAAGTGGGCGGGGTCACACCCATTTTCCAATCTTTTATTATAAGCCAATTTTTTTCTTAATAATTATTGCAAAAATTAATTTTGAATAAATTAGCTTCAGTATTTACTGATTTATAGAAGCTTTGGTATTTCTCTAAATATCGTTATATGGGATGTGGGCGTGGTTATTATCAGATTTTCTAAATTTTATGCCGTTTGGTGTGTTTTGTGAAGGCCAACAATTGTGCCAAGTTTGGGAGAAATTGGTGGAGCGGTTCCCAAGATATACACATGTAATCATAAGTGGGAGTGGCCCATTTTCCAAAAATTTATAATCTTATTTTTCGCCTAAAAATGATTTTAAATACTAATTTTGAGTGAATAAGCTTCAGTAGTTAATAAAATATCGCAGTTTTCGCATTTCTCAAAACTGCCGTCTTATGGGAGGTGGGCGTGGTTATCGTCTGATTTTGCCCATTTTCAGTACTATCCGTCCACCGCTCAAAAGAAGTACACATGCCCAGTTTCGTTAAGATATCTCAATTTGTACTCGAGTTATCGTGTGCACAGACGGACGGACGGGCGGACGGACAGACGGTAACCGCTTAATCGATTTCTCTTTTCATTCTGATCATTTATGTATATATTTGTCTATATCTTTCTCGACTCGTTTTGCCTGTTACAAACAACCGTTATGTGAACAAATTTATAAAACCCTTGTGCACAAGTGCGCTCGGGTATAAAAATACTTGACATCCGCATTCGCATCCGCATCCGCGGATGTTAGCGTTTAAACATCCGCATCCGCATTCGCATCCGCGGATGTCTAAAATTCCACATTCGCAACATCCCTGATACATACACACATATAGCAGCATTTAATTTCTTTTAATGAAATGGCGTTTCGTCCATTTCTGCTGTAGCATATGTAGTGCATATTTTAGTATATATTATTTATTTATATGTTACAGTCTTACGACTTAATAATACAACTATGATATTCGTACATATGTATATGAATTGTAATGATCTTATTGCAAAAATTATCAGTTAAATATAGAATTATGTATACAAACCCTATATATATTATATTACATATGTCTATATTAGGCCGCATTATCAATTAAATATAAAATTATGTATACAATAACTATATATATTATATTACATATGTTATATTAGGCCGCATGAATAAAAATATGCAATTGCCCCCTCCAAAAAGCTCCCACCTTCCACTTCAATTTATTTGAATAATCGAGTACAAGGCCGGAAATTCCCAAAAAACGCAACTGCAGTTCCCAATCATACGGCAGAGCAGGCAAATTAGGCAAGTAGTCTGAACAGGCAAGTTCCAGGCCATATTGTTAGGGCAGTTGGAAAGGACTAGTTTCCAATCTGCACCTTCCCTTCTCATATATTGCCACAATTGTTAGGGCAGTTGGAAAGCACTAGTTTCCAATCTGCACCTTCCCTTCTATATTACTGCTTCAGTTGTTAGGGCAGTTGGAAAGGACTAGTTTCCAACCTGCACCTTCACTTCTCACATTGTTTCTTCAGTTGTTAGGGCAGTTACAAAGCACTAGTTTCCAATCTGTATCTTTCTTCTCACATTGCTGCTTCAGTTAGGGCAGTTGGAAAGTACTAGTTTCCAATCTGCACCTTTACTTCTCATATTGTAGCTTCAGTTGTTTGGGCAGTTGGAAAGGACTAGTTTCCAATCTGCACCCTCACTTCTCATATTGTTGGTTCGGTTCGGTCAGGATTTACGATGTTATACACGCTATCTGAATGGACTAGATCCAGAGCAGCACTGTTTGGTAGGAGGACGGTGCTTCGGGGATTGGTCTTTCGACTCTGTCAAGATTTGCAGATTCAGCAAGCTGTCTGAGTGGATTGGATCCAGAACAACCCGGCCGGATGGAAAGGATTTATTTCCATGCTGAGTCTCTATCTGATAGGTAGTGTTCGACAGTGATCAAGTAATGATCTCTGGAAGCTGGCAATGCTTTCACAATTTCTTGTTTGTGGCGGTAGTTCGTTAAAACACTTTAATCCTTTGTAGAATATGTTCATTTTATCCACTTCTGTCCTATATAACGGCAATCTAAAGCTGTTATTTTCCCTGAGTATGTATGAATGAGTGTCATTTATATATCTGAGATTGTCGCTCAGGTAGTCCGGCAACCGACAATTCTTTATATTGAATACGAATTTCATGGCGTGATAAAAAATTTGCTGCTTAACACTCAGCCAGTTCATATCGGCGAGCATCTCTCGTGTGGATGCATCGTGGCGCTTATTCAGTATAAATCGCATTGCTCTATTTTGCATTTTTTGTAACTTGTCGATTTATTTATTTAAGTCTATGGTTTTACCGAACCTTACAGACTAGATAACATTTAACTTAAGACTAATTATAATTTGACCTCAAGGCCAACTTAAAAGAACAGCGACTGGAGAACACATCAACATCTCTACTTCTATTCATTAAAGCATTTAGTTCACCTAACATCCTAGAAATAGGCTCATTTTGCGAGTACTTAGTTTTATAAAATTCTATTGGGAAGATTTCAAAATACCTTAAAGATCGAACAGGAACATTCAGTTTTATGACCTGTAGCAGCACAGGATAGTCAATACTACCATTAAGAATATCATGTACAAACATGAGCCCAGAAATAGTTCTTCTTCCAGCTAGAGTACTTAGAAAACTCTTTTGTACACGCTCTACTCTTTTTGAGTGAGTATCAAAATAAGGATTCCAAATGACAGACGCATACTCTAGTTTCGATCTCACGAAAGCGTTGTATAAAATTCTCTTGGTATAGGGATCTTTAAATTCAGAGCTATTCCTCTTTATGAAAGCCAATGACGAGTATGCCTTGGGATTAATGTAGTTTAGGTGCTCGATGAACGTGAAGCC